ACAATGGCGGTCACGAGTTTCCTCTACCGGACGCGCTGATGAAATCCCCAGCGCATGAATATTGTTGCCCTCCGACAGGGCAATTAATATTTCCCTGTTGCTGCTCCGCTATGCACACCACCCTCGTTCCTCTTCACTATCAGTTGTTACGGTCAGCGTCCTGAAGTGAACTTCCCTAGCAGAGGAGCTTGTATCGGCCTCTAAAAGGGACAGTGGAAATTCATCCTTTGTATATAGCGGCATCTCCAGCGGTTCCTCCTGCTATGGCCGAAGTCATATGCAGCAGAACGTGAGATCGAAAAGGGCGCTGGTGTTGGGAATAAAGCCTTAAGTGATTAACTCTGGTGAGTGAAAAGAGTGTTGTTGTTGTTGTTGTTGTTGTTGTTGTTGTTGTTGTTGTTGTTGTTGTTGTTGTTGTTGTTGTTGTTATCAGAATCTCCGGGGATCACAAGATGAAAACTTCATCAGGCTGAAAATTCAAGAAAGCAATGGATGACGGGTGCTGCGTCCACCCCGTCGGACATGTGGTGAAAGTCGCCTCTTGCGACGCTACACATTTACTGTTATTGTACTACAGAAACGAAGTTCCAAAATACAAAGAAGAGAAGCCAAATACTGATGTAACTTAAGATAAAAGGATATGCACATTTTGCCCTTTTCAAATAAATCGTAAAAAGTGAACAGTTTAGTTAAATAACAGGCGATGGCAAGTGTCGACCAGTCTGTTTGGCGAAGGATCATGCTATTGAAAGGTTCCTTATCAAACCCCGAATAAAGCGGATTGAGCAAGACTGGGCTTCGGAGTGTTGCATCCAAAAGCTATCTTTATCCTTCAGTTCGGATGGGTTATTTGAAAAAGAAGAACGACTTGCTAGAATATATCTGTTGAACTATTGACGTTCCGGAAAGCTCGATCGGCCCATCACTATCAAGGCGTTAAATGCATAAAATCAGACAGAAAGGCAAATGGCGTGCCGAAATAATCGGCCTTAGGCTAATTTATTGTTTTTCTTTCTTCCCTGCACCAACCTTTTGGTGGATGTTTGGCGAACCTTATGAGTCATCATCTCGACGAAGGGTGGTTGAGCCTCCGTGGGGGTTGTTCGGTTTTATGGTTTTTTTGACCCCTTCGGATGAGTTCGTCGTCTTATCGTGCCTGTATGGTCTTCATGAATTGTGTTACACCGTCTTGTCCTGGTCTTTGTTCGCGTAAGGACGCAGTACTCTATAGCTTGCAGGAAAATCAAGGTGCCTGTTGATGGAGTTGGCATCTGAACACCACGCCTAAAGTGTTAGTCGTTCTGTCTTTGAGTTTGCCCCGGCCTAAGTTGGTCCTTCCTTGAAGGTCGAAAGTATGCCCAGTTTGTCCAATGTGCGTTTCGAACTGAGAGGTTGGGTTCAGCTTCCGGGTTGCCAATTTGCGCTCGTCTCCACTTTTCGTCCTGTTTCCCCAACACAGTTGCCGTCCCAATAATTGCCACTTATTTTATAGACAACTGTCAAGGTTTCGGTGAACGGCAGCGTGTCCTTGGCTTGCCTGCTGCCGATGGACTATGCCTACTCTGGCGTGAAACCACCTCGGAAGTTCCCTCAGTCTAGGGGACGGACTCAAAGCTTCGGGTTGCTGTGCCTCTGGCCGTCGTTTGTTCGTTCGGCGCCTGCTTTGCTCAAAAAATGACTTGGGTGTCCATTGGTTCTGAAGAGGTCATGAGTACATAGTCGTTCAGCTCTTTGAACAAGGCGAGGGCAACGAAACATGCCTTGCTCGAAATTCTTCCGCGAACACAATGCTTCAATTCAGCCCTTTGCAATAGAGTGCGGACACAGCTACGTTGGTGAGACAGAGGGTGACTTCTGCTGAAATTTAGTATTTGCCTTGTGTCAATTATGCGTTCATAACTTTTTCACAACGCTTTTACTTGTATGTGTTATTTTCAGTCCCAATACTTTTCCTGTTCAACAATTTATCTGTAAACTCTTAGAAAGGATACCACAATTTTATCTGAGGTCAGACCGAAGAAGCTTGTTCAAGAAACGCTTCCCGACAGGCCAAGGTGAAGTGTGAACTACTGCCAACAATAGTCCGATACTCGCAATGAGAACGGCTTGATGTGTCTGTACGGCAAGCAACAGAGATTCTACAGTATAGTAGCGTCTGACTGCTTCTGCAAAACAAAATTTGTACAAGTTACAGTGATCCCACCTGCTGTAACCATTGTCGACGCACCGAAATTATGCCGCATCAAGACTCTTTCCGCGGAAGTTTTTTATGCGTCAAGCTGGTGTTCGATTAAACGGTATTTGCATTCGCCCCATTCTCCCTTTTTCTTACCCAAGCTACGCATTCGTTCCGAAAGGTCCTGCCGCACAACAGTCTTCGCCCAGGCCATGGAAGGGTAGGCAACTATCACAGCCTGACATTTATTACAGTTTGCTGGCATCCGTTGCGAGGTCAGACAAAAAGTACGCCCGTTTGGAGGGCATTTCTTCTTACGGCAGTGTGCTGTAGGAGGCTTGCTTCGGGCCTGTAAAGTCAAAACCAAGGTAGCTTGTCTACTGGTCAGTCTTTAAGCCGATGGTCTGCCTGATGAAATGCATTTAACTGGCCTTTACATATGAATTAAAGCGTGGGTAAAGGGAGACAGAAGGCTAGCGAACGGTCACGAGTTAGGCTATGCCATGAGATCGTTGATTTGATTGATCGAAGGTCAGTTGAAGGCCACTGGAGCAGGCGCTTTTGCCACTGCGCAAAACACAACGCTCCATAAATCCGTCGCAGGAGGAAGCGCTACTCTGTCACCTTGAGCAGACCAATCACGGCTCGGGAGGGTGGGCGGGCGGAAACCAGGATAGGTCGGACTCAGCAGCTGTATGCGTTAGTCCCGAGGGCGAGATTGCGTCACTCGGCAGAGGTACTGCTGTCCTACCAGATGCATCCGTCGCATTCAGGCTTTTGATTGTGCGACAGCAATCAGAGCAATTAATTTGCTCTTGCAGATCTTTAGCACAAAACTGGTGCGCATTTGAGGCGAATTCGTCCAAGTGCATGAATTTTAGGTGAAAGTTCAAACATTACGTTGGCAGAAACTATAATGCACATTGTCTTGAGCTGGTGCAGTGGGCCAGAACGCTGTAAATTCCAAGAAAAACAATTAAAATGCACGTCAATCAGTGTGCATTAGTGGCAACGGAGGTGAAATTCAAATCAAATAGAACCAGTCAAAGGATGGAATGAAAGGTCCTACACCAGAACATAACCATTGTAATTTAGTTATGGGGAATATCAGACCTAAGCGCGAACCCATATTCTGTGACACTGAATGTTCGACTGAAGTACGGCTAATTTTTCGATTTGAAAAACAGTAGAAGATAGCTGCAAATAAGACGAACCCGCGAACACTGGAACAGGTAGGGTATTCGCGAGCTTTTGGACTCGTACAGATCATGACCGGAGACTAAGAGAATTCAACAACAAATGATCAGTATTTGTAGTCCAACGATGAGGGGGGGGGGATAGTGTTCGCGACTGGGCTGGATCCACGCTGTCTAATTCACAGTTGTCGTGTCGCTGCCCTCCCTCACATTCGTCAGCACTGACGCTGACTCATGTCGCCGTCGGCTGTCAGACACTGAGTACGCGCGTGTGACAACCTCTGCCAGTGCTCTGACACCAATCGAGATTTCTCCCTTCACCCACTGGTCGCACCTGGACGAAGCTCAAGTGGGGGCATCCCGGCTATCACTTGCCCGGTGCGGACGCTTGCTGATGCTGGCTGCGGTGCCGCACGTGCACTCTCGGAATCAGGAAAAGCTGGCCGAACCTAATCTGTCTTCCGTGGTTTATGGCTAGGGGACTTTGCGTCTTGAGCGAGTTGATACTATCCATAATGCCTGTCGGCAGTTAATGAATATTACGAGGTTACCCACTGTGGCTGATGGAATTCGGCCCAGATATTCATAAATAAAAATCTCGGCCTGAGCCTATAGACCATGAATAAACCGATTTACTTCACGTTCATAGTTAATTTCTGAGGAAAGTAAGGTAAGGGTCGGGTGAAGGCCCCGACCATCTGTGGCATGCGAAGAATACCTACTATACTTATTTAAGTGGGTTTAAATCCGACACGATTATTTGGGTTTAATGTTTCATCGTACAGGGTTGGGTCGTCCGTTGTAGACGGTCTGATGCATTATCTGCAGTGACCTCAGCTCAGAGAGTTGAAAAGCGATCGTTGTTGACACTCAATGATCATTTTTTAAGTTGTCCTGCTTAATTTCGGTTGCTATACGTCAATGCATTAAAACTTTTCCGCTCGAAAAACAAATTCACCAATCATCTATATTTACTTTGCCATTCCTCTATGCATACATAGGTCCCGTCCGTAAAACCCCTATTACCACCTTTTCCCCTAAGACAGGCTCCTTTGGCTGGTCGTGTGTGCTTGGGGTCCTTCACCCGATCGTTGCCGAAGTTAAAAAAAAGCAACAGCACGGACTTATCTGTCAACGTCGCTCAGTGAAGAGTAAAGGCAATGCGTGAAAAGTCAGTCAATGATACAGAAACTCACACCAGTTTGGATGCATCGCATAACAGTTCATAAACACCAACTTAAACAAACATGAGTAAATGCGAGTTTGGGAAGTGACTAGTAAAAATATGGAAAATAGTTACCACCCGTCTGCTCCCAATCAGACAGTTGGGGACTCCTTCGAACGCCAATATTCTTTCTTCCCGATATGCGATATAGTCAGGTGCTGGCAACAGACAATTTTCCACCAGAAGGTTAGCATATTTTGGCAGGAGCTTCTGGCTCCCTTTCGGTCGCACAACTTACTCAGATGTCCGAACCACTTACGGAGATTCAAGACTTTGTCAAGCCGTCGCTTGCCCCAATTTCGATTTCCTCAGTTTCTCCTGCGTCTCCCCTCTCACACTTGAAGTTTGAAATTGCAAAGTTTGCCCATGGTATAGATTCTCTTTAAAGGCTGACAGCCCCTTCATGCCGGAGTCCGCGGAGGTCATGCACCCCGAATTTGCAGCCCACTTCTTAATCTGGTTCCAACACAGTCGCCACCTGCTGCTTTCGTATCACCTTTGGTGCCAAAGCACATCGCAGCATCTTTTCCTGCACTTCCATCTCCAATCAGAGCAACAGGTAAAAGGGGTCAGTCCGAGAGTCAGTGTGACCAATCTTCTTGGCAGCTCTGACTCTGGTTGCACCTTCTACGCCTGCGACACCGATAGTGGCAGAAGTTTCATTGTTTACTCTGCAGCGCAGATTAGTGCATCTTCTTCCACAGCAGCCGCCCGTCAATGTCCCAACCCCGGTCTCGTCCTCCGGGCCGTCAACTCCTTGCCAACTGACACCCTCCGTATCTGTTCCCTCTTCCTGGACATCGACCTCCGGCGTCCTTTCCCTTGAGTCTTTCTCATTACTAACGTCACTAGTGCAATTCTTGGTATAGACTTTCTCATCATTTTGATCTTCTGGTCGACTGCCGTCAGTCTTATTAATCACCAAACTCAACGTCCGGGCATCCCTTCTTCTGAGGTGTTCCACAAACTTACCGTCCTGAACCCTGACCCATATAGTCCATTTCGGCAGCTCCTCGACAAATATCCTGGTTTCCGTCGTCCAAACTTCGATGCCTCGACTCCACCACACGAAGTTGTCCATTAAACCTGAGCCACCGACCCTCTTGTGTTTTCTTTGTCCCACCGTCTCGCGCTTGCACGGTGGGAATCATCCGTCAATCTGACAACCCCTGAGCCTCACCCCTCCACACGGTTCTGAAGGCCGCCGCCGACGACTACAGGGCCTTGAACAACGTCACTATCCCGCACCGTTACCCTGTTCCACATTTTCAGAATTTTACCGGTGTCCTATTCAGCAAGTTCATCTTTTCGAAGATCAACTTGGTCCATGCCTTCCATCAGATCCCCATCGCGCCGTGAACGTTTCACAGACAACCGTCATCACCTCCTCTGGCCTCTTTGCTTTTTTTGCATGCCGTTTGGACTCTGCAACGTCTCCCAGACCCTCCAGGGGTCCGTAACCAGAGTGCTTTGTTGCTACCCTTTGCATATTCCTATATCAAAGATCTTTTGGAAGCTAGCTCCACCATCGATGAACGTATGAAGGATCTTGCAACAGTGCTTCACTGCTACCAACAATTTGGCGTTGTTTTCGGCCCTTCCATGTGCGCCTTCGGCGTTTATTCCCTCGAGTTTCTCGGACAGCTGGTCGATTCCGACGGCATAGACCCTCTGCATTTGAAGGTGATGACCATCCGTGGATTCCCACCTTCCATTTACAAGCGCCAATTACAGCGTTTTCTGGGCATGGTTAAATTTTACCGTCCGTTCCCCCGAACTGTTACCAAACAATTCTGCCACTCACGAGCTTCCTCTGCTGTCCCAAAGGTTCGTTCGAGCTTTTTGCAGACGACCTTGTTGTTTTTGATAAAGTGAAAGCTGCCCTGGCCGAAGACACCCTCCTGACGCGCCTAACTCCCTCATTGTCGACGTCCCCAATGTTGCAGTCGGTGTGGTTCTTCAGCATCGTCTCGCAGGAGATCCGCCAATAGGACTTTATCTCCCAGTTCACCCCAAATATCCGTCACATCCACAGTTCACGGGACGAGATGGCTGACCCGCTGCCCAGGCCCGCAATCGCTCATCTCCAGCCTTCTTTCCGGATAGGCCGTGTTGATTCTCCCTGTGATGGAGATGGATCTGGAATCCAACTGGGAAACAGATCGCTCCTAAAATCTTTGGTACCGGTGGTCAGTGGACAGCCGGTAAGTCACTGGTTAACATCTTAAGCCCCCCCCCCCTTTCGGTTGGATACGGAAATAAGGAGCTCCCGTAGCTTTGCACCAACTTACAAGGGGATGCCTACTCCTCTGTCCTGACTTCAACAACTATCCTAACCCTCCTAGCCCTTGTAGGTGCCCGCTATCACACTCGTCAGCACCTCCACTGACTCACGTCGCCTTCGCCTGTCAAGTACTGTGTACGCGCATGCAGCAACCTCCGCCGACGCCGTAACGCCAATTGACATTTCTCTCTTCATCGATTGGCCATGTCCGGCCGGACGAAACTCACGCGAATGCACTTTGGTTAACATTTGCGTCAACTACTTGCTGGGCTTCCTGTACGCTTTTTTACCTCAGTAAAGCTTGTCCGACCCTATCCGTCCTGCCTTACTTGCGAGTTGTTGACCATCATTATCTCGACATCCTTGCCTTAACTTCTTTCAATATTGCTGAATTATCAAGCGCGGCTCGTTCCTATCCTTCCCGTGAGTCCACAAAGAAGTTTCATTAGGACAATGTTATTGTTTTCGATATTTGGTAGGAATTCGCACTACGGGGAGAGTTT